TGTGGAACAACCAACGAATTACTATAATAAGTTGATAAGTCTTATCGATTCAACGCTATATTAGTTTCCTAAGCTATTCTGGTACCCTGAAAGCTAGAACTGCATAGCGACTTGAACACCAGAGAGAAGACGCAAGTACGAGGGAAAATACTCTACTCTGAGTTTCATTTTATTACAGAAAATATGGGGTTTTTATAATATATCTAAATGTCCTTGGGTCGCTGGAATATTCTGGAATGCTACTAAACATAGTAGCACTGTAGTAGCCAACCAATCAGAGCTTCCTCATGTGACGTTTCGCTACCTTGATATTTCTGGCCAAGACTCCAAGTGAACGTTGATTGGACGAAACACATCTTAGTGTTTCTTGATGCTTGCTTGTCTTTTGCAAGCGATTTATGGATCACCCCAACATAAGTAATACCATTGATATTTAGAAAAAGGTTAAACATAAAGTCAGTTGTTTCGAAGGGATTGAATTCATGGAAAAAAGTGTAATTCGATACCGAATAAATTTTTGTGTGGCGATGCAGCCACCTGGCGTCTCCTATCGCTAATCACGACTACCTTACGAATCCCATCATATAGCTTGAACCAACCAAAATACCTCAAACCAACAGCATATAACTTCCTTGACTTCATACTTCAGCTTTTAACTAGTTTTGTTCCAACATACACTTACTCTACCGATTATTTCTTGTCAAAGTGGAAGGTATTTATGCATACACAACTTATTTTATAGTTACTATATTTAACTAAGATTCTGTTTTATCAACCATCTTAACTACACAAAAAAGTTAGCATTATTTGCACGGTTATTCGATAGTACTCATAAGAGATCCTTGTCTTCCACTTTTTAAAAAACGCATCTCTCAATTTTAAGGTCAAATTAAACAGACTACTGTTCAGTTTACTCACTATTTGATAGACTGGTTTTTGCGTACACAGAGTGTGCTTCAAAGCAGTTCGTTGATTGAGTTACCTTTTATATTTGATGAACGAAATCTCATAGAACTGACTGACAACAAGTAATTTGTGTAATTATTAAAGAAAGTAACACAAGATGAGATTTATAGACGAACCAGTCACATGTAAGATAACAGGTCTCATATTTTTGGCGCGAAATTCACTCATCCATTTGAATAGATAAAGTTTCCCTGTTCACAATTGAGTGATCACTGAGTGGTGATCAATGTCATGTGTGTCAAGTCCATAGTGCAGATCGAATGCTATAGACCAAGTGGTAATGTGGTGACTAGTCTAGGTGACTCGACATTGCATGCACTATGTTGAGATAAGATAGTGTTTGGAAGCAGTCAACAGGAAACCCTGGTCCCGGGATTCGTGCTATTTGGCACTCGTCAGCAAGGTGTACCTGTAATCTTGATGGAATTGGTGCTCCCTGATGGATTCGATCTTGTGTCACCCAGCTTCACAGTCAGAGACGTTACTACTGGGCTATCCGGGTCGCAACTGACCTCCTGTAGGACTGAGATGTATTTACAATTGATTGATCACTGGGCGGTGATCAATATTATGTACGTCAGGTTCTTCTTAGTGCAGATCGAATGCTATCAATGTTGAGTCCCACTGTAAATTTAATCAAACAATTAATGAACACATAGTCAATTCAATTCTAACTTTTCAACAATACCAACAAATACTTCTTAAAATACATCAAATTATTTCACCGGCTTTCTTCCGTTTCTTTTTTTTGAAAAAAAGGTATGTTAAAAGTTTGCAGCAGAAAAGGTTTACTGTTTTTTTAGACAAGTTTCTATAAATTTAATGATAAATTTGGAATTTCCATAGAAACTTAATTAGTGTGTACGTCATTTATATAAAACTAAGTAATTTGTTTCATCAAGACTAATTTATTATTATCATAATTGAGTTAGATTTAATCATAGAAATGTATATTGGCGGTTAGTTCAAACATTTGTGATACATCTTTTCTTTTTTTTCTGTTCAGTTATGCAATTACAATGCGATAATAGTTGTATAGAATATGGTTGAAAAGTTAGATCACAATCATATTGACCGTTATTTTGTATCTATAACCTTGAATAGCTTAGTTCAAGTGTTGAGCATTCAGTATCGGAAGTGCTTGAAGTTGGTTGTGTGTGTGTGTGTGTATGTGTGTGTTAATTCACACAAGTTCTTGATTTTCATATACTTATGTAGTCGGTTGATTTATGAAAACCTAAAAGAAAAACAAGTTGTTTAGAACCATTTAAGTGTATTTCTTTCCTTATGTAAATATCAGATTCCTTATCGTATAACTGTCTATTGGGAAGTCCACGTTATACCCGTTTTGTCTAACATTGTATTCCACTCAAGAAATAATGCAATATTGGTAAATATAGTGAAGTGCATTGTGGAAAGCATCCCAAACGAAGAAAAGTTTGTTTGACAAAGTCGTTTAAACCGGTCATCTATATCCACCGACACATGCCTCAAAATGGAACATTGATCAGTAGTACTGTATATTATTCTCTTAAACTTATGAAAATATTACCAATGTAAATGAACAGTCTATAGAATTGCATGTCATTATATTTACTGTTATTATGTTATTTCTTGAGTCGAATATAATGTTAGACGGGATGGGTATAACGGGGTTTTCTGAATGGACATTTATACAATTAAGAGTCTGATGTTTACACGAGGAAAGAAGCACACTTAAATGGTTCTCAACAACTTGTTTTTCTTCTAGGTTTTCAGAAGTCAACCGACTACATTACTTACCTACTCCTGTTACTCCCAATGTAGCATAGGCCGCCGACCAGCATTCTTCAAACCACTCTGTCCTGGACCTTCCTTTCCAGTTCTATCCAATTGTTGTTCATTTTTCTCATGTCTGTCTCCATTTCTCGGCGTTATGTGTTCTTTGGTCTTCCTCTTCTCCTTTGACCTTGAAGATTCCATGTGAGGGCTTGCCTTGTGACGCAGTTGGGTGCTTTCCTCAATGTGTGTCCTATCCACTTCCATCACTTCTGATTTCTTCCTCCACTGAGATCTGGTTTGTTCTCTCCCATAGTAGGTTGTTGCTAATAGTGTCCGGTCAACGGATCCGAAGTATTTTACGTAGACAACTGTTAATAAACACGTGTATCTTCTGGATGATTGCTTTCGTAGTTTCCGCCCCATACAGTAGAACTGTCTTGACATTTGTATTGAACATTCTGACCTTGGTGTTGGTTGACAATTGTTTTCAGTTCCAGATATTCTTCAGTTGTAAATATGCTGCTCTTGCTTTACCGATCTGCGCTTTCACATGTGCATCAGATCCACTATGTTTAGCAATAATGCTGCCCAGATATGTAAAGGTTTTTACATTCTTCTAATCTTCTCCGTCAAGTATGATTCGATTGTTGCATGTTGTGTTGTATCGGAGAATCTTGCTTTTCCCTTTGTGTTTGTTGAGACTTACTGCTGCTGAGTCTGCTTCTACACTGGTCGTTTTCTCCTGCATTTGTTGTTGCGTGTGCGATAGAAGAGTCAGATCATCTGCGAAGTTTAGATCGTCCAGCTGCATCCAACCGACTACATAAGTATATGAAAATCAAGAACTTGTGTGATTTAACACATACAACCAACCTCAGGCACTTCCAAAACTGAAGTTTCACACCTTGAACTAATCTATTTAAAGTTGTTGGGACGAAATGGATATGACTCGGATCTAAATTTTTAGCTTTCTTGTTAAGATATATTAATAGACAAACTAAACTGCTTACTCAGGTGTGTTGTGGTATGTTGTGAAGCTGTGCAGTTGGATCTTCTAATTTTATGATGGTCTCAAGGCTTTTCTGATAATAAGAAGTGACATCGTCTATTCGGTCCTGTTTATTCTATATTTGTAAACTATTCAGACAGACTTTTAATGGGATTTTTTATCAAGTACAGATTTAAACGATTGGTCATGCTCTGCTATTGACTTAAGCTTACTAGCCGTGCTGCTCGGATGTGCATTTGGCTAAATTAGAGACGCTAAGCCATGGAATAAATAATGGATGGAAAATAGACCAAAGTAGAATCGAAATTCTGATTGGTGGCCCGTCATGTGATATGTTTGCCAGAGGTCACAAGACAATAAAATCTCTTGCAAAAATAACCATAGTATCTGTGCTGAAGAACGATATTTAAATCACAAAGCATTCATCTTACACTACCTCCTAGGGGAATTTTAAGTGCAACCTTGAGATTAGCAAAACAAAAATAAACTACAGCATGCAGTTTTCCTGTAACAAAAGCCGTAAAACACAGAATAATATTAAAATAGTAGAGAATTAGGAGTTTTAACATCATTCTGGGAGCTAAATATAGATAATTTAGTCTTTAGTTCATTGTTCTGTAGTGAGTTTATGCCCTAATTATTAGTTCATTATCTTTTAAAACCTAATAACTAACCCTAAAACTAATCAACTCTGGGTTTTTTTTATACTCCTAACCCTAACTTATTGACCTTAATACTTCATTCTACATGTGAACTATTATCCAATCTTTTTAAAATATGAAATATAGTGAAAGTCATAAGTTTCAACAACAAGCTATCTTCACTGTAGCGGTTCGCGTCTAGACAGTTGGTGCTTTGTGTAATAGGGGAGTATCCATAGTAGCGTGATGGAGGGAACTGGAATAGAGTAGAATAAAAGAAATGGTGAGTCGACAACTCAACCAGAGCACACAATACACTTACATTTAATATGGAAAATAATAGACAATAGTCAGAAATAAGGCAAGCCTCAAATTAAGACAATCTTGGACTTGAAACTTGAAGCAAGATAGTTTAGCTTGCTCACATGCAATAGCGTTATTAATTCTCCTATCGTCTAACTTAATTTGGATTGATTCCTAAAGTCCGTCGGTATCATATAGTTTTACCTCTAATTATGATTATTTAATCAAATTAGACCTTTTACTGTAGTAAAATTAAGTTTCTCTGTGACTATGTCATAGAGTGATGTATTTGTTATTTTCTTTAATTATTCATTATATAGATGGTTGAATTTTGTCAGAGAATTTATTCATCATTTATTCTGTTCACCGGATCCATCTTCACTTATTAATAATACATTAAATACTGATACAAGCCTTGTTACTATAGCAAATGAAGCGTATACACGATGTTTACGACCTTTTCATTCATGGTCTGTGCGAGGTATGGCTATGGTAAGTAGTAATTTGATATTTACATCTGAATAAACAATAGAACTATCTGTTTTATTCATATTAATTAAATATGATATGAAATGAAATTGATGAAGGTCTCTGTGACCTTGGTTACATGTATAGTTAGTTGAATTGATGCTAATTGATGATAATTGTGGAGTGATAGGTTGATCATAAAAGTTCTTAGTTTCCAATAAATAGATTGCAGTGTTCAAAATTGTTCTATACACTTTGGTTTGGACACTCGACTAACCATATCACTAATAATTCCTTCAAATACAAAGTTACAAATTTACATACTTGGATTAGATTTACTCAATATGTAAGTGAGTTGCATGAATGTTTTTTAGATGATCGAATACAATGAGAAATTCTGGATGTAGTTTTTGTGCTGAATAATAATCTTAGTCATATATTTCAGCTTAAATAATCAAATTTAGTCATTAATTGGACAAGACAAATATAACCTTGTTCACTACTCAGTATTATGAATCGGTGTTTATATCTGTGTAAAATAGATTAATTACAGCTTTTCTTATTGTAACAGTGAGTTACACTGCATTAACTCGTTTGAGGATCATCACTCTCTTTAAGAGTGGAAATATACTATTCTGACGAGTTCCCTTAAGATTACATGTACACTTTACTGATAGTTAGTATCAAATAGTATGAAATCTAGGTCAAACAGGTTTTCTTATCCACTACCTTTAACTTTCTTACAAGAAGTATATCGCTCCAATTGTAGTGAACAGAACACGGGTGGGGACAACCGAATTATATTTCTCACAACATTACAGAGTTACTTAGTAAAATAGAAAAACCATACACTATAATACTTCATTTGCAAAATGTTCAATAATTGTCTCGGAATTCATTGTTCTTGCATTTCTATACTAATTGCTTTCTATTCCCACTCTTCCTTTCTTGATCTTCCCCATCTTTTGCTGCCAGACATTACATTCCTGACTCGTGTCATATACTACTTATATATATAAGTATATATAAGTAGCACGCGCATAGGATAGTCTTTATCGTTTGATTAAAAAAGAATTATTAGTATTTCTTTGCCAATATAAACCTAATAATTAGAAGATCATTTAATGATTTATACAGCATAGTCCAACTATAAAATTGTTCGGTAAGATTTGTCCAAACTTTGTTCTTTTTTTTAAAAATACACACATTATTTCATAGACTAACAATCCAATCAAACCAGTTTTCTGTCACTATTTTGTGCTTTCAATAATTCTCAACATCAACTAGAACACTTTTAGAGTTTATTATTCTCGAAACTTATTCATCCATAGTGAATGAGTATAATTCATATTAGATTGTGATGAATGGTTGACATTGTTAAAACTTGTGAGTTTGTGCCCCTATCAATGTATAACATAATGATACCTGCAATTGGAGGACAGTGATTTATCGACCTGACCAATGACGCATAAAACAAGCACTAGCAGTCTAGAGACCTTATCGGTCCTTCTTCCTGCCCTATATCTGTCTGTTGAGTCTAGAACACCAATCTGTCAGCCTCTGTGATATAAATCATGTATTTCAGACATGCTTGGGTTATGTACAAACCAAGACCGACTACATCATACCATGAAATAGAAAATATACATTTGTACAAGATTTCCTCTTGCAAAATTCTTTTCATTTCTTTCATTCTCTTCTATTTTTTTTTCTTCAGGTTATTATACAATCACTTCCTTCACGTTTATACTTATTTGAATTATTATTAATGGATAATCCAGAAACAATTCCATCGTCAATCACTTCACCGACTGGATTACCTCTTGGGTCTTTCAATGAAACTAAATCATTATTAATACGTTATCCAGAGGCATATATTCAATTAAAATCAGATGCTACACGTTATTCCGAAGCATTAGGTCGTTTCTTAACATTAATCGAAGGTCTTTTAGCCAGTTTAGATTTAAATCGTATATTCACTGGGTCAGAAAGTTATTAATATAGAGAATGAGGACGGGGGGGTCTGTTTCGTAACTTTATCTTCTTTAATCCTCATCATATCAGTGTAATTTCGTTGTTTACATTGAACACATTCCTTACTTTGTTTTTATATGTTATGGCTGTTTCTAATATCAATAATAAACCTATAAACTATTCATTTAAAACTATTTTTCTATGTATAGTCTCTTTTTTTAATAATTTTTTTGTTTATATGTGTTGTCTTTTTGTTTGTGTGTTTGTTATTTCCTTTTTTTTCTTTTATTTTTTTCTTGTTCTTTTTACTCGATGAATTATTTATTGTGTTTTTTTCTCTTTCTCTCATCATTCATAAGCATATTTAAACTACAGATTGAAAGAGTAAGTGGTGGAATCAATCATTTCATGTTTTGTTTGTTTGTGTTCGTATGTGTACACTTCAAAGAGAGAATGCGAGAGGGAAATATGGGGGGGGGAGTAATTTCCACCCTGTTTTCCATTTAATATGTTTTAGTTGCCAACGCTCTACATCTACTCATATATATAATTATTGTCATTGTCATGATACAATTTGTTACGTATCTAATTTATTCGATGCAAAATTTGTTGCGTAAGAGTTTATCCTGTTTGTTATTTCAATGAAATTTTATGTATTTTTTATTCAGTTTATCAGGATTATATCCAGATTTTATGTACACGAATTTATGTGTATTCACCAACTTATTTATAATTAATCTATCAATCATGATGATTTAGTCCTTTTTGTTTAATACTGATTGAATTATATCCACCAAGTTACAATGTGACTATTAGTCTAAATGACTTGACATCATATGAACCATGTTTTTATAACTTGTGGCCTTGTGTCCCATTAATATGTAATGTAATGATACCGCCGATTAAACAACATTGACTTATCGACCGGACCAATGACGTATAAACCCGTACGAACAATCTGAAGTCCTTATCGATCCTTCTTCCTGCCTAACCCTACCTGTTCGAGTCCAGAACACCGATCTCAGCCTCTGACATATGAATAATCCTTTTCAAACATACTGGGTTTATGTACAAACCAAACAGACCACTGATAAGTCTTGCTAATTGAACACTATATTGGGTTCCTAAGCTATTCTCGTAACCTCCAAGCTAGAACCACACAGCGACCTGAACACGAGAGAAAAGGCGCAAAATATGCGAGAAGTACTTTACTCCAAAGGTTCTTTCTGGTATAGAAAATATGTGGAGATAGGCCCGACAAGCTTATTTTGTAAATAAGCTTGTACTTAGTACTTCTGTGGAATACATTTACGGTAAAGCTAGGATAATGTAATTAAGGCTAATAAAGACAGGTTACAAAGAATAACCATGTCTGCGAGGCTGAGCCATGCCAACTGATCGAACAAAATTAAGGCTTCCACGTTCTCCATTGTTAATTTTCTTTTCATGTCAATTGTTAAATGTAAATCTATTCAGTAGTTATATGCTCAGCCCCGAAATTCGTATGGTTAAGGTGTAATGTAATATCTGTAGCGCCTGTGTTCACTTTCACTGTGATACTTCAGTACCTAGAAAGTACTACGAGTTTAATTTAGGTCACTCCCGCCCGTGATGCTAGTATGTTCTTCCACAATGCAGATGAATATACCAACTGAACTAGAAAAGGAGAGATATGAAACCATACTAAAAGCTATCCTATTAATCCCTACTCCTATACCCAATTTGTGCAATACCGACTCAACCAAATACGCAACTACGGGAACCAAAAAACGGATTTGTACATCATTGAAATTTCTGATTGTTACTAGAACTCGATTGTCCGTTGACGATGAGCAGCAGCGTGTGCGCGTGAAGAGGAGAACTAGCAACAGCATAACTCACAAAACGATAGACGTACGAAAAACCTCCTTCATTCCACTTTACGTTCCAATGTTGGACGCCAGGTTAATAGAAAGGAGGACAGCTTTGGATGAATAACAGTAGGACAAATGTTAGTCAATTCCTATAGGTACAATCCAGGCAAAACTATCTCAATATAATAAAGGTCAGAACTTGGTAAGTGAAAATTAGTGTTCGACTAATTACTAGCGGGAAACTTCGACATTCTACCCCTAAGTGTCGGCAAGTGGAATAAAACCCCTACACAGTTGTTTCATAAGCGGCTCACCAGAGCCATTAGAAGTTCAAGAATGACTGAGTACTTGGTTGGCGTCGCGAGACGAGATGTGGACAGAAAACTCTCCAGATTCGTGACTAACGGAGAGCCTACACACCGGAGGATAAGTGCAGTTAAAGGGCTGAGTGACGAAGATCTTACTAACTCAGAGATGGGAAAAATCCTTCATGCCAACCTAATACACGAGAAGCATGCAAGCACAGAACACTCCTGCTTTGTGAGCGAGGAAAATAATGATTGTTTTTTTTGTATCGTCAGACTAATAGATAGTTTGACGCGTATTAGGTTTTCTTGAACGCGTGAAAGCGATGTAACATCAATAGTTCAATTATAAACATTACCCTGCCCGATGTGCATGAACACACTCTTCCTAGAATTAACTTATAGGACCCAACCTCTAGCTCATCTAACTAATTCATCTAAGTCAGCTTGGAGATCCAAATGATCAGCCTCACTTCATATTGTTCTCCAGATTTTTGCATCCACAAACAATAATGTCGACGACTTAAGCAACAGCGGTAATTCACTAGCGTAGAGAAAGTAGGGGGCCCAAGACGACGCCTTGGGGCACACCAATTTAGAACACAATATGAACACAAGTGTCAGTCAAAGAGAAAGAAGGTACCACGATAAAAAGTTTATCAAGATTTCAAACCTTAATCGAAACACTTTAGTTAAAGTGGGCCAAGAATTCCGTTGATGCAACAAGTACACAAAAGCTAAGCTAATCAAAGCAAGTACAAAATTACTGCCCTTTTTTAAACGCGCGTTAGGTATCCTACTTCACTTGACACAAAGCACTTGCGGTCCTACGGAAATCTGCCCCTAATGGTCACTTTAGGGCATGATCCTGAGCTTGTAGCCTGGACAGCACTTCAAATTGTAAAGTGGATGTACATGAGGTAAATTCAAGTATTAAACTTACGCGAATACTAATCGGCGCAATCACTCTGGAATTTCTGCTCGATATTTTGAAAAATACTCACGGCCGTACCTTGAAGTGCACAACCCTTGCGCCACTCACCTCTTTGAAAGAGACAAGTCTTTCAGACCAAGTATAGAGACGGGCAACAAAGTGAATGATAGCGCTGATACAAATCTTATGATGAAAGTCTCTAGCACCTAGGATTATTGTCACTGAGCTTTATGGACAAAACTTATGGACAAATTCGCCTCTAACCCTAGAAGCCTATTCCGTTATGCAGCCTCTCTTCGTCAAGCCAAAACAGGAGTTTCTCAACTGCTAGGTCTTAACGGCCCGACCAACAATGATGGCGACGCCGCTAACCTTCTGGCGGCACATTACTCTCAAACATTTCAACCGGCTGACATCAACTTTATTGATGACAGTTTCATCTGCAATTCCATAGAACTTTCTGAAGTGGACCTAAGCGCTGACTTGGTGTTCCGGAAATTGCAGCACTTGAGACTAGACACTTCTCCTGGCCCGGACACGGTTCATCCTGCCATACTGAGGGAGGCAGCCTCAATCCTGGCAACGCCGCTTAGCGTGATGTTTTCTCACTCGCTTAGCCGAGGCAAATTGGAAGTTGGCTCACATCACACCAATTTTCAAAGGTGGTCGACGCAATGAACCTTCAAGTTATCGGCCGGTGGCTCTTCTGTCATTACCTTCAAAACTCATGGAGTCCCTGATATGCCACGGTTTAAATGACTATGTACTGTCCTTAAATTTCTTCTCACCCCGACAGCATGGTTTCAGGAAGGGTTACTCTTGTATAACCAACCTGCTGACTGAGGTGGGCAGATGGACAAGCATCCTTGATTGCAAGGGAAAGGTTGATGTCATTTACCTTGATTTCTCAAAAGCTTTTGATGAGGGTAACCACTTGTGTCTTATCAACAAGCTCAAACGACTAGGTATCAAACCACCTCTAATCGATTGGCTTACTTCATACCTAAAAAATCGACACTTTAAGGTTAGGGTTAATTTCACTTTATCTCAGGCTATGGAATGTCCTAGTGGGGTCCCCCAGGGTTCAGTACTAGGGCCTCTTCTCTTCTTGATCTACATAAATGATCTTCCTCAACAGGTAACGTCAGATTTATTACTTTTTGCCGACGACGTGAAAATTTGGAGAGAGATACGCAACCAAGACGATACACAGGCACTTCAGGAGGATCTGACTCGACTTCAAAGTTGGGCAGACGATAACGGACTTACCTTTAACACTTCAAAGTGTAAAGTAGTCCATCTGCGACATGTCGCAAACTACAGTTACAACTTAGGAAACTCCTCTCTAGTAGTATCCCAAGTCGAAAAAGATTTAGGAGTCCTGGTGCCCCATGATTTGAAGTCTTACGCTAACTGTGACAAAAATGCCTTCCGAGCAAACCTTACACTGGGAACGTTGAGGCGCATTTTTGGCCAGTTTGACGGAAGAACTTTCCACACAATCTTCAATAGCTTCATCCGTCCCCATTTAGAGTACGGAAACATAGTACTCCACCCCCTCACTCCAAAAGGACAAAGTCACTTTGGAGCGTATCCAACGGCGAGCCAGGAAATCAGTTCGAGGACTCAAATTTAAACCTTACGAAGAGCACCTCCATTCACTAGACCTTTACCCATTAGAATATAGGCGTCTTAGAGGTGATTTATTAATGGCTTATAGTATTCTCAACACTTCTGGACATCCTCTTAAACATCTACTTAAGCTTAGTTCGAATAATAATTTAAGGGGTAACACCCAGAAACTGGAAACACAACATAGCAAGACGGAATGTAGACACAACTTCTACTCCTTAAGAGTTGTCAAAAGCTGGAATTCGCTGCCGGCCGAGCTAGTCCAAGAGACTTCTCAGGAGTCCTTCAAGAGGCAACTTGACCTATTCTTAAGGACCAAGAACAGCATCACACTATGATTTACCAATCTCTTTTCCTATTTTATTGTTAACATACCTAGGTTCCTGCCTGGAGAATTTGGTGATCCCCTGCTACTAGACACGGAAGCCTGTTAAGCGAAAGCTTCTTCTATTCCGTCCACAACCATTTGAACCATTTGAAGAATGATAGGTGAACTGGTAACGGCATCCAGCATACTGAGTACGCCAAGCCCCACCGAAGCGAGTATCTTTCCCAGATAGCAATCGGTTTATACAAGCTCGTGGCGAAGTATTGAATATGTGAAGGTCGATGAACAAGGCGCGCTGTAGGGATCGCGCGGCATGACTTCTAAAGTTAGTAGACTATCATCGCTTGTTATTAACTCGGATCCTGTATATCTGAAAAGCGAGAGGTAATATAAATCATTGAAACACATCTTTTTTCAGTCGCATTGTTTACTCCTCTGACAAGTTTGTCGTTGTTCTTGATGCACGCACGGGAGTCACTCAGTTCTTACACGGACATAGAGACTCAGTGGTTTGGATTGTCCCTGGAATTGACAAACCACATCATGTATGTCTCTAAGTGGTTTGCTAATGTTTCAGGTGATTTCTGGTGGTCTAGATGGAAAGCTAATCGTTTGGGATACTAAGACATTTGAGAAGGTCCAGGTAAGTTCTTGATCCAATGTACAATATCGTAAAGATTTTGAATACCAGGTTCCCAATA